TAGGGACGGCTAGCGCAGATAGCCCTCGTGTAGCTTTGCGCGAAATTCAAAAACAAACAAACAAAAACAATTATCCACCAGCTATGGGAATAGAAATCACATACCTACATATTACACCTCTTATCTCCCCTTTATTTCGAGGCCAAGTCGCCCTAACTTTAAAATTTAAAACCAAAAAATTTAACTTCAGTATTGGTCAATAAATCAAACTAACCTGCTCTCACCTCTGCAAAAGCACTTTCCTATAATATCAAGGAACAAACAGAAAAAGCAATTTTACATACCATAATAACTCTTTAAACAATGATGAAATACATTATCTTTAACAAGAACTACAATGACAAACAGTACCGTTTAACAAAGATGCAAAACCTAATACATTAAATATATCCTTTAAAATCAAAACCTGAGCAAAAACAAAACTATTCAACACAGATACTTACATCAAACAATACTAAATTAAACAGACAACAAACCCTTTACACTGATAAAAAATACCCAAAATACAAAAATCCTTCACAGAAATAAAAATTCAAATTGAAACCTGTTAGATATACACGACTGTTCCATCTAAATTTAATACAAGAGTTATAATTTAAATAGCTATAAAACGCGAGTGTTAATTTTGTATTTTTAGAAGCGATAAAATATCGCAGGTTTGTATACGTAACTGTGTACAAATCATATGTTGTGTAGTTCACTGGTCAGTGATTGTTATATTGTCGCGTCATGTCACCTTCTAATTTTTTCTCATTGTTTCTTTAAATATTGTTAAATCATTACGTCTCGCAATTTGTAGAAAATTCAAGGCCTCAGTTCGGCAATATATATATATGTGTATGTATAAGCGCCCAAGAAGTTAAGTAAGCTAGTGAAAGTAAAAGTGAAAAAAAATAAAATAGGCTGCATGCGAATATAGCTGTAATGGGCAACTTCTAAAATGTGCCTCACAGCTTGTTTTGTAATAACAGAGATAGGGAAGAATAATTTGTCTTGTCAGAGGGTGTTCTGGAGCATAACTGAAATTCTCAACAATTACTTTTTTGTGGTGGGTGATATAAATAGCTTAGACTTTTGATTCTGAGTGAAACCAAGAGTGCAACCTTTTTAAAGTCCATGAAATAATTTAAATTGATATATTAACTTAAACTTTTCCATTCACTGGAATGGGTACTTCTGCTAGATTAATATAAACTTTCCCGTCACTGGGGACGGGTACTTTTGCTTGTATTGATAAAATTCTGAACCTAAAAATTATATATATAACAAGAACTACATAAAGCAACATATAATTTTTAGTCGTAGTTATTGTTATGATATCTTGGGCCAGACATGGCCTAGTGGTTAGTGTGCTAGGCTGCAGATGAGAAGGTCCAACTTTCAAACCTTGATATGCCACTGATAACTCTTCTCAATTTCAGCAGGGGGGGGAGCATTATAGCTTGGTTAAAAGTAGCTATGTAGGCAGTAAGTGCTAACTACTTTCTCTCTGGTCAGCAGTTCTAAATTAGAGATTGGTATGCCTGAATCTTGGGGTCTCTATGTCCTGGCAATTTAGCCCATGTGTCACATAAAGTGCCTTTTAAGTTAAAAATTGCTAATTGCCAATTAGAGTTGTAGTATGCACAAATACCATGCATATTTACCTTCTTATAGTAATATAGACATTTTCATAATTTTTGTTTTGCTTGACTTTATGCATAAACATATGTTCCAGACAACCACTAACTTATTTTCATTCTAATAACCTTTGTTCCTTTATTGTTCTCTAATACCTGTTCCACCCATGGAAAATTGCTGCAATTTTACACATTGTGCATGCAAGTTAACGAAAGCAATGTACTTCATTGACTCAGTAGATGATATCTAAAGGTTATAGCCTTCGGTCAGTGCAAGTCATTTTGGGTAAATCTGACATTTTTTGTTATGTAAGGAACATTGGATTGGCACATTCTACTTTAACATGAATTGGTAAATGAAAAGATATTCTAAGAAGTAAAAGGTGTTGATTGATCTACAGATCTGATAGAAGGTGACACTCCAGTGTTCTGATGCTAGTATGCACCCTGTTTTTGTATTTTTAGATATAAATAGTGTTTTACACTTTACATGAAGTCTCCAGTTTGTATATTCTCTTAGCTCGAATTCAATCATTTAGCTAAATTCAGATTTACTCTGTGATTATCCTGACCGATCCTCCTGTTATTTGGTGGACCAAACTAATAATCATGCGGAAATCACAGAGTTACTTAGAATCATACATTATGTTATTTCCTAGAAAATTACAACATAATAAAGATACGAAATGGGAAGCAGGTATATCAAAACATTCGTTTAATTCTAATGTCTCCAAATTAGAACTGAATGTTTAATACAAATATACGGAGAAAGATTTCGTATCCAGCTATAGAAATTTACAAATAACAAAAAATGTAGTTAGTGGTTTTCATTCTGTTAGGAGTAGTCTTTTTTTCCAAAGTCAGCTAAAGTTAAAGAGTTAAAACAAACGAACTTCAGATCGTTTAGAGTGAGGATACGAGTACAAAACTGGCAGATTGTGCGCAGTTACATGAACTTAAAATATTCTCGTTTTTATAAATATCAACTACTAGTTAGTGGTTGTTTAATTGTTCATACAGGCTAACTTGCAACAAACGTTTTCTTCCTGTAGAAGATGATAGAAACGTATAATTAACTATCGTGTATTGTTCCATACTTACATAAAAGCTCAGTTGTAGAACCACTTTCAAATATGGATCCGTATAATGACCTAAGGGCACGAACTGCGACATTAGCCATTTTATGCTGTAAAAAAAATCAATGATATCTCACCAGTTTCATTCCTGTAAAGGCTAAAAATATCAGATATAACAAGCATCATTTTCTCTAGGGAAAGTCTGGATAATTGCAGAAAATTTCTGAATGTCCCAACAATACAAATATCAGTATTGTTACTGCAAGAGTAAATAATTACACGTAATACAACTATTAATAACGTCGTTAAAAGGCTGTATAATTACACGTAGTACTAGTACCAGTAATGTCATTAAAAGGCTGTATAATTACACGTAGTACAAGTATCAGTAATGTCATTAAACGGCTGTATAATTACACGTAATACAAGTATCAATAACGTCATTAAAAGGCTGTATAATTACACGTAGTACGAGTACCAGTAATCTCATTAAAAGGCTGTATATTACATGTAGTACAAGTATCAGTAACGTCATTAAAAGGCTGTATAATTACACGTAATACAAATATCAATAACGTCATTAAAAGGCTGTATAATTACACGCAGTACGAGTACCAGTAATGTCATTAAAAGGCTGTATATTACATGTAGTACAAGTATCAGTAACGTCATTAAAAGGCTGTATAATTACACGTAATACAAGTATCAATAACGTCATTAAAAGGCTGTATAATTACACGTAGTACGAGTACCAGTAATGTCATTAAAAGGTTGTATATTACAAGTAGTACAAGTATCAGTAACGTTATTAAAAGGCTGTATAATTACACGTAATACAAGAATCTGTAATGTTATTTTATGACCAAATAACTACGCTTAGTTCAAGTATCAATAACGTAATTGTATGACTAAATAATCCGAAATATAGAACTATCTTAAATTTATCAACATAGCATTCTGCCCAAAGCAAGTTATCTAGTCAAATAGAAAAAATAAACGGACAAGGGGTACAGCTATCCAAATACATTGCCGTTATTACGTTTCAACTTATCTAGATAATTAAAAGTAACGTGTGTGTATTAACTACGTAAAAATGAAATTAGTAGTGGAGAAGTACGGACGACGTCACCATAAGCATAAGGGAGGGGTTGGTGTTGATAGTACTATGTATTGCAAAAGGGAAAGGTATTTGGGTAATATGGCCCGGCATGGCCAGGTGGTTAGGGCGCTCGACTCGCAATCTGAGGGTCACCACCAAACATGCTCGGCCTTTATCTAGTACTACTAGTTGAGATCAGTGAGATTGGGGGCATATCATCTACTGCTGATAGCGCCCCCATAAAACCAAAAAAGAAATTGGGGAATGGATCTGTCATCCTTCAGAGCCCCATCTCGGACAACATTGTTTATGCGTTAAGGTTTTGTGTGTGTGAATTTCTTCATTTGTGTACAGTTTTAATGCTCCCCCCCCGTCCCGATACACAGGTTTTAAAAGCGTCGATAGATCTGGTGTCTCTTACTAGATCGTCGCACGTGAAGCACGGGTTTTCCCCGTACTAAAAACAAGAGGGAGTCCTCAATAACCGAGGCACTTGAAATTCTTTTAGGCAGGATTAAATTAATGTATGAGACCTTGGGCGTGGTCAAATACATCAATCGAAAGGGTTTGACCTCCTGGGTCGAAAACTGTAATTAAACCTCAAATCGGTCAGGAGAAGACGAAGCTATGAAATGAAAGTTTGTACTTGAAAAAAACAACAACAAACAAACTCAGAGCCATTCTAAAAAGACAAAAAAAACCACTAAATTAAAATGCAAATTAATTTATTATGAGTGTACAATAATCAACTGAAATTAATATAAGTAAATGTATTAAACATTTCTATCAACACTGTCAACAAAAGTAACACAGAAGATCAAACCTCACTTACGTACAGATCATATAAACAATAGCTTTCCAAATTTATATACTAAATTAACAACGCAAAATAATCTTCATAATATTATTAAATAATAAATTTTGTTGATAAAGCTAATAAAAATATATATAATAGACATTCCAACCGACAATACTAATGAAAGCAACTCTAAAGAAACAACAAAGTGTATCCCATTTGTGGATCATATCAATAATAATTTTATGCTTCATCTTCAGTCGTAGATTTGATCGAACTGACAATTCATTCGAATACTACAACTCATATATTATTGTTATTCTACTATGTAATTCTTTTAACCATTGTAAGGCTCGATAATTTTAGGAAATACAACTATAAGTAATAGTATCAGAATACTAGATAATCCCAGGTAATAAAAGTAACGTTACTGCTGAGCTAGATCATCCTAGAGAGCAAAATTAACATTATTATAAGGCTGGACAATCCCAGATAGTATTAGAAACATTAGTGTAAGGATGGAGAATCTCAGGGAATATAAATATCAATAACACCGTGGCAGTTCAAAATTGATAGGTTTGTACCCGTCTATGACTTAGGAATTTAATGTTTTTATAATTTTTCATAACTTTTGCGCAAGTGTTTTACATTTAGTTAACTTGTAAACAAGATATAGGTATTTGTGAACTTACTCTAAATACTCTAACCATCGCAGGTTATACACAACAGCGGTCATTTAAGAAAGCTTACACTCGCTTGGCTAACTTTCTTTATAATATTTACTTTGTGGTACGGACTATATCCAAATAAAAAGGTGGTGCAGAAGAGATTTGTACAGTTGGAACGATCTTGTAATAAATTTCCATTAAGTTCAATGGGAATGATCACTTACTAAGTAACCTTGGATTGTGGGATACCACACAGAGGCTGTGATCTGACAACAAGTGTGATACAGATAGAATTATTTCTGTTTTTTTTTTTTGCCCTGTACAAATGTGCAGTCTCCTGTGTTTAACAATTAGAATCGACTATCAACCAGCTAAAATTAGCACTGAATAGCAATAAGTAAAGAAGACCACGACAAATGTATTGCAAATATATAAGTATGATTTATTCGGTCAAGCTCGTAACTTTTGTCAATTTCTTTTCTTTTTTGTTCGAGTTCGTTTTATTCTTCTGCAAGTATTCCCTTAAAATCTTTCGTACTGTAAAATGTAATACTTATCTGTTGTCCAAGTGCACTTCGGTTACCATATGATTATTGTATGACTGGATTCTTAGGCAGTACAGCTGTCAGGACCTTTATTCTAAGGTTGGATAGTTTTTAGATAATATACATGTATCTCAGATAATAGATATACTTTTATTGTAAGTTGGATAATATCACTCAGTTCAATTAAACTTGGTTGATGTATAGGTGGTACAAAACCTTTAATTCCAGTTTTAAACTATGGTTCTTAAGAAAATTCTGGTCCACAGATTAAACATTGTGAGGTAAAATAAATTATTTTTATTTACATTATTTTGAATTAAAATTTAAAAATTATACTGCTAATGAAGAGTTTTTGTTTTCCACTGACTAATAACGTTTTTACATGCCAAGTTTAACTCTTCCACTGACTAACAACGTTTTTACATGCCAAGTTTAACCCTTCCACTGAGTAACAGCGTTTTTACCTACTAAATTTAACTCAAAATAACTGAAGTTTTACTAAGTAACAGTTTATGTAACATAAAATCGTAATAAAGTTCTATGTTCTTAAAAACTACAACTGGAAGTTAAGACTCAGAAACTGCCAGCTTATAACTATGTATGATCTCGAGCTACGTTTTTCTTCTCACCTGATCCTCGTAGTCAGAAGGAAATTCATGCGTCCATCCCCACGGTGTTAACCACATCTGGGAGTAAGAGTGTAAGGTCAAAAAAAGCTTCACTCTGTTCTTTCGGTCAAATATAAAATTAGCAATGGCCTTAATCTCCGGTTCTGAGAAAGGAATCAGTCCAGAATAGACGTGAGAACAAGGAGAAATGCTGGACCCTCCATCTAGAACGAATTGTTTAGATGAATTATTTAGGTGAATTTATTATAATATTTATATAATTATGATTTCTTTTTAGTTTTATGGAGTCATGTATAAAAATGTTAAAATTAGGAAGGCCTGTGGTCAATGATTAAGTTCAATTGTGAACTGCATCTGAAATGAAAGAAAACACACATGGTAACAATAAATCAAAAATGTTTAGTCGAAATTTGCTAATTAATCCCAGTTTTTATAGATTTACTTGATAATCAAACTTTTTTATCGTCTCAGTAATTTCTCCAAAATGAAGTGGACATCAGGGTATCTCTCAGGTAGATATCTCAGTGTTAAAGCTACAAGTAATAGCCTACTGAAATGACTAAACAATTAAAAGTTTTTTACAGCTCCTCATATCCCAGCACTCCTGTGTAACCGTCAGTGATCCCAAATGCAAAATGAAATTACATAAGTGCATCTCAAAGCATTTCCCACGATGCTTCAGATGAACAAAACTTTTCTCAGCCTTGTGCCCATCTCTCTCAGAACGTATTGAAATACATTTCCACACAGCGAAAATTTAAACCTTAACTTTCTGATAATTAACACTATAGGTCGATCCAACTAAACCTATTTATAATGATATACTAAGGTTTAACTAGACAAAGGTTTTTGACTTAGAAACATCTGATATAGAGTATTGAAAATAATTATGGAAACATTGTAGAAATTTGGTACAAAATACAGATATTATGGGATTGATCCCCCCTCTCTTATAAGAAAATGAGCTTCAGACTAGTGTCACGTATTGATAGGTACACTAGGTCTCGCTGTTATCTAACCAATCACTCGGTGTCACACCAGCATACTACTTATAAAAGCACAGGCAGTCAATCATATTATTCCCAGTAGTAGTGTGATAATTGCATTCATGTTCTTAGGAAGAAATTTCTCAGGAAAAACGTGTAGAAATAAAGGCTTTTACTGGTGAAGGCTACTCGAAGCCACGGATTATGAAAAGGTTTCATGATATACAATAGGAGTGATCAAAGTAGAAAGCACAAACTTTTCAGGGTATGCTCTTTAAGTAATGCATGACAATCCAGTAGAAATCTTGTCAGTAACCTAGCTGTAAATCTAGGTGTTAACATTACTTCCCAAACAATAAGAATCACATGAATGAAACGATCCCAATGTAAGTGCTCAGAAATCATTGTTTATGAGAGATAACAAAATTAAAGGCTGAAATGGATATCAGACTTTAAAGAATGAGATGATCAAAGCTGAAGGAGAGTACTACTTACAGATGAATACAACTTCAAACTATATTTCAACAGTTCACAATTGTTTGCTTCATAGCAGAAAAGAGAACAGTATCACAATCAATGTACAACATTTACAAGAATCGTACTAGGAAACAAATACGTGTGTGGGCTGCATCTCTGCCAATCGTGTTGGAGATCTTCACAAAATTGATGGCACCCTGACTGCTGATAGGTATAAACAGATTATTTCCCATTATGTCATTCCCTCAGTAAGAAAACCCGTTGGCATGGATTAATCTTCCAGCAAAACAGTGTTGTCAAAATTGCAAAAAAATGTGACGAAACAATACACAGAAAGAATAAAATGGCAGATGGAAAACTCGCGTACATGGCTTAAACGATTCTCATTAGAGCAGAGTATTATCACTATACTATTTTCATAATTCTGATTATTTTGTACTAATAAACTATGAGCGGAGGTTGTGTGTTTTACAAATTTAGAAATTGAGAGTGTTTTCTATTTACAGTTATTCATAATTTGATTTCATAAATAATATCCTTTTTTAGTTTTTGGTATGTTGTGAGTTCTATCACCTAAACCCTAGCCTGTATTTGATTTTTCTTGCAAGAAATCTTCTTTTTCATTGGCATTATTTTAATTATGTCTAATAGATTTTAAAATTATATCTTTTGTACTTTGATGAGAACGGGTATAATTTTCTTTTGTCTTTTTATCGGTGCAGTTACATTTCCCAAAATTTGATTTGTATTTTTGTATTTTCTAATTATTGTTATATAGTGTTAAAGGTTCGCGTATATACTTTTGATGCAGATACAGTAAGTTGATTATTTTCATATATACATATACATAAAACTTTCCTAAATCAACATTTTTGACTATTTAATTCATTTTTAATTTTCTTTGATGTACAACTAACAGGTGATCACTTGACAACTGATACGGTCTTCATTTATTCAAGCTTTTGGAATTTTTAGTAAAGTCAAAGTACTGTCCATGAAAATATATATATAGAGATGACTGAAAAGATGAAGCACCCTATCTCAATTGTTAATCAGCGATTACAGTCCTAAAAGTATATTATTTGTACCGTTAGAAACTTAAAAAGGAATGAATAACAAATCCAAAGATCTTATCTCAATTTGAAGATATAGAACACTATCTAAACCTGTATAGATTTATATTATGTTAATGAAGCACAAGAATTGTTGATTTAGGAACTTCGTAGAGTTTTGACTCTAAAGCACTGATAGCTCCACCATTTTTTTTTCAATTCCTTAAAATGATTATAGCCCACTATTGAAAAACATCAATAACATTAATACACGTACTTAGAAAATACAACCACTCCGTTTCCGATGTCCACAAATTATGGTCTATGTATAACTTCCGCGAAAATCATGAAATAATTTTTAGGTTATCCCTATAACATGATTTGTACGATCTTTCAACAAACATTTCGCTTTATATTTAATAGCTTTCTATTTATCTTAACACTGTGAACGAAAAACGATAAAATATACTTACAGTTCCATTTGAAGGACCAGTTACGATTAGGGTCCACCCCTCTACATCCAATTAATGATACAGTCCATGATCTAGTTTTCCTCCACATTCGATCCTGAAACGGTACACCATAAAACAACTGTCAATTTTCCATAACTGTATAATATATCTAAATACACTGTCTTGTTAAATACGCCCCACCAGTGGAACAGCGGTATGTCTGCGGACTTACAACGCTAGAAACCGGGTTAGTTGCCCGTGGAGGGCAGAGCACAGATAGCCCATCGTGTAGCTTTGTGCTT